TATTTAGGCCTATCTACGGCCTTCAAAAAGTTGACGATTCTACATGTTTCGACGTTACAACGTCATCCTCAGTATAAGTTGTTGCTGTAAAATGTTGTTAAATTTTCCAGTAAATATAATTTTAATGGTTTACATGGTCATCGCTATTAATTTTCGTTCACTCTTACAAACTTTTCATAACATAACTTATGGAGAAGAAGGGGGTCATTTATTAGTTGTCCTTGTACAATCACCTTTGGAAAAATAAAAATCTATCATTTACTTTCAATTAGGGTCAATTAGCGCGGCGCTCAAACTCAAAGGGGGCCTCAAATTTAAACACTTATTATTTTTTGCATTTGTTAAATTTCTCGACTTGTTTTCATGCACAGAAAAAGGCTAGAAAAGCATTTGTTAAATGTTAATAAGTATATGTTAAATAGTAAAAATCTAATTATGTTTCACTTTTCTTTTGGGCTAATGATTGTCTTATTTTGTTTTTATGTGTCATATTTTTTATTATTATAATAGCCAGGGGTCTCAAAAGATAAAAGTGGTCCGGGCCTCTTTGAACCTCTGAGAGGGCCTCCTTTCAATGAAATCATCGACCCCTCCTCTTGAAGTGATGTAAAGTGTTAACCTACACTACTGCCGTCGGCAACTCATTCTATAACTCAATCACTCTCTTAAAAAATAAAACTCAAATGGAGTCTAGCCTGTTTTTTGTTTTTTCCAAGTCTTATGCCATCTTGTCCTATTATCTTCAAAACTTAGCACAGAGAAATCATAGGCCTTAATTGTATCAATCCACCAATAAGTTCAGTAAGATCACCTCTTACTTTTCTTTCTCAAGAAAAAATATCTTAAGAGCTCTTAAAAATCCCTCAAAGGATAAAGGTTTGAAAAAGAATCTTATGTTTCATATAATATGTTCTTACACTAAAATATCAAATACGCATGAAGTTCTTTTCGACTCTGAGGAGCTCACGAAAAAAGAAAAACTGTTGAATTTGTTTTAATACATATATCTATTAACCAAAATAAACGCTCACATAGTTCTGTATTCTCCATTATTTCACCTCTTTGCTGTTCCTTTTCCAAAGAAGTGTAAACTGGAAAGTAGCGGGATTTCAACCTGAAACCATTTTTAACTGCTCAAACCACAGCCTTCAAATCGATTGATTATTTTGAAAGATGTAGTTTCTTTGGTGGGATAGAGATTCGAACCCGCAATCCTCAGATTGGGAGACAAACACTCTAACCACCTGGTCATGCCGGTTGATAATACAGCCCTGTGATGGTTTTATTGCCTTGAAATGTTTACATGTTTTACAGTAATTCCTGTACGCTGAATCCGAAAATAATATCCATTTTTCCATCAAGTACAGATTTTTCACAAAACGTCATATGTACTTTTTTCATTGAAAATGGGTCACATTTTGTTACGCTTAAAATGTTGACAACCGCTGGACTTCTCTAGACCAAACGAGACGTGAGAGTCTTATCGATAGTACTAGAACCCACGAGAAACACACATAATGATAAAAAAAAATTATTGTGGTAAACGAAATAATAATTTGATCTAAGTAAGAAATTTTTCTTTCTTCTCGATTTGTAAAAAATCCTTAAGTGATAGAAAAAAATGAATATTCTTTTCGAAGTCTGCTAGCTGAATTATGGAGAATCCATTATTAAAACCAAAACAAATTTTATGAAGTTTAACTTCGCAGGCCTGTGTTATTAGTGCTGAAAGTAGCAGAATTCTTGGGCTGTACGATCAGACTTTTTTGCGTTACCAGTTATTGAAACTTTTAAGTACGAAAAATGTACGAAATAGCATTAAAGAAACACGCGGAAATAGTGATCCATAAAATAAATACAGCGCAATCGTAAAAGAAACAACAAGCACGCCAACTTTCAGTCCGTGAACGTACTTAAAGCAGACTAGTTAATTGGATTGTAGGATGGTTTAATGAGAGAGAGAAGTCAAAGGGTAGTTATTAATGAAATCTAGTAAAACTGGACTATTGTTACTATTGGAGTGTCTCTGGTGTCGGTGCTTGTGCTTTTGGTTTTATTTATCAGTGATATTGACAGGGGTACGTACAGTTAGTAAATAATTTAAGTTTGGTGAGGACTTTAAACCCTTGGATATTTCTAGCTGTATGGAGGATATTGGGATGTTAAATAGTGACTTGGGTAAAGTGAAAAGCTGGACAAATATTTTCTAAAATGCCCTTTGATTAGACTAAGGTAATAATGCATTTCGGTTATAACAGCTTCAATAATACGTTTAATATAAAGGTTGAGTACATTACATTAAAATGGTTTTTGAGCCACACCCGTCGTTACAGATCACCTCGCCACGTCCGTCCATACACTATCTGACGATTGTGCATCTTTACAATGGCCCTGCAGCGTAGTTTTCATTATGTCAAAACTACTCCCTATTTGATTTTCATTAATCCCCAATGAACGACGATGACGGGTCACCAACACCCGTTTTAACAGTCTGATCGTACAGAAAATCACAAGTGTACCTCATTTCTTTTCCCCTTGATCTTAAATATTGTCCAGTTTATTTTGGTGTTATGACTTTAAGAAAGTTTACATTAGTTGTTTTACATCTTCCATTAAGGACTAAAATATTTAATGAATTTATATTTTGTATCATTGTAATAATACACCTAATGAGTTCCACGTCTTATAATTTTAAGTAAATTAACAATTCCACTTTCAAATGATTTTATCTTCTTAGGTAATAGATCAGTGGAATAAAAATTTCCAAAACCTTTTTCATTATTTTTTACATATCTTCATTACGCAACTCACAACTCACTCACGACAACAGCCTTTAGGAAATTCAGATCCACTAACTTTATCTATTATATTTTTCGTCCCATGCACCCAAACGACCAACTGTACCAGCCTCAATTGGTTTGCCAGCTTTGCTGTGATTATAGGGACCAAAAATAGTAAAAGTCTTCATTTTGTTTTAACTGTGTTTTTCATATTCTAAATCCTCTTTCCTTCATTTATCTGTTCGACTTGTGTTTTTGTTAAAAACATTTGATTAGGGTTTTTAGAAGTGAAATAGCTTTTTGCTCTTTGTATGCTGCTTTCAGTTTTTCTTTTTGAATATCACTTAAAAACACACTCGCTATAACTCATTATATATTGTTTGTTTGCTTGTTTATAATTAAGCACAAAACTACACAATGGGCTATCTGTACTCTGCCCAACGCGGGTATCAAAACCCGGTTTCTAGCGTTGTAAGTCCGCAGACATACCGCTGTGCCACTAGGGGGCCATTATATATTAAAATCTTTTGTAATATTCTTTGATTTCATTATTTGTTACTCTCCCTTTTTTAGGTAATATGTCTAATAAATTAACGATTTGATTATGTAAATTTTTACTTTAGTTTCTTGCTATTAACTTATCAGTTAATACATCTAATTTATTGACTGATCCTTCATCACTTATTTTTATAGCTTCAGATGTACCTCTCAATACAGAAGTTGAAATGACTTGTTGCCTCTTACTTTAAATTTTCTAATTCGTTACTTTCTATTTCGAATAGTCCTCTTCTTTCCGAATATTTATATATTTTTCTTCTGATTTTTTAAATTTTAGTATTCGAAATGAAACATCTAATCCTTTATCTAAATCAATTCTATATGCTTTTGATTCTTCGATAGCTATTGATTTTAACTGAGATTCGATTTGTAGCGTTGTAATGTTATAAATTACGTCTAATGATTTCAGTTCTTTTCTCGTTTCTTGAACATCTTCTAGAAGAATAGCTTCAGATTCAATTTTATAATTACTTGTTTATGAAACTCTGTTTTGATTCTTCGCATTTTACTTTACCTAAAGCTTGTGTTTCATTTTTCTTTCTTTGTTTAGTTTTGATAGTAATTTTAATGAATTTATATATTTTTATTATCTTCACTAATTTTTAATTTATGATAACTTATATTTAAATAAATGGTGGGGATTAAAGATTACACAGAACCAGAAGAGTTTTAAGATCCTAATTAAAATATTCTACTACCTATATACATCTTTAGACTTTTAAATGTTGGACCATCTGGTTGTGAAAAAAAACAAATTTTTTTGTTAAACCTAATCTATCATCAATTGAACTATAATAACCTATACTTATATGAAAAAGATTTAGGAGAACACAAGTATGAAAAATTACAAGAAAACTTTACAATATTTTATGGTGTAGATTTAGATGATTTACAATCTATCGATAATCAAAATAAAAAAGATAAAATTATAGAATTATATAAAAAATTAATAAACATTATT